ATATATATATATATATATATATATATATATATATATATATATATATATATANATATATATAATTTTAAAAAAAAGTTGGGTTGATGTGGTTATATTTTTCTTTATGAAAATTTAGATAATCTTCTCGATATATTAGCTTTCTTTCGAGTGGTGGTAAAATTAATTTCATTTAAATTTGTATTAATATTGATTCATCATTTATTAACTTAATATGTTAAAGCTCTAAAAAAATTAAGCTAATATGTAGCCAAACTAATCTATAAAAAAAATGTTAGCAAAATAATTTTTGAAAATATCTTTTGTTTTAATTTGATATTCTATACAACGTATAGTAAGAAAACAAAGAAACTTTTATACAATTAAAGCTAGATGATTGAATCATAATCACACTTTAACTTATTTTTAACTCAATTTATTTTGATCTAAACAATTATAGATAAATTAATAATTTAATGGAATTTTGTCTCCTTGAGGAAGTCTATGAAGCATGTGCCTTGCCGTCCATTTTCAGCTCTTTTAAGAGACATTCTACTGTGAAGCCACTAAAGAATTTTATTTTTATTATATAAAGTAAAGTTTTTTTTGTTTATATGCAGATGTAGAAACTATGGCCGACAAGAAGATGAGGAGAAACATATCGAACTTTATAATTCTCTATGTTAGTTAAACTACTGCATCCTCAAATTTTGTTACAGACTCAATTTTCATAAATTAAAACTATATGAAAAAATAGTAATGGTTTACATTATTAATAAAGTGGCTTCATATCATTTAAGAGACTCTTATATCGTACAATTGACAAGGACTAGTAAGTGTAACCCTATTTCACGTTTACCTCGATTATTCTCTCTTTAATATCTTTAACCTTTTTTGGACTTTTGTTTTTCTGTTGTGGTTTTCGAATATCGCTTTATGAATTCGACTAGCTATATTCATCGGGTTCCGCCTGTAATATTTTCAAACTTTTTTTGGACTTTTGTTATTTTGGCCGTGGTTTCTGAATATCGCTTTGTGTATTTGATTAGTTGTACCCATCGGATTCTGCTGTT